TGGTATAAATTACAAACTTTTTTTGTTCTAGATGTATAAAGAATAATTAAGCAAAAACGAACTGATATAATCATGATGATGGAGAATTAATTAGATTGTGTTCATGTTTAGGCAACGTAATCCAGGTTGTATTGCTATATCAGATGGCCTAACTGTTTAAGATTAATACAGTTATTTTTTTTCCAATTTTCATTCATCGATCATCTCTCTGTTTTAGCTATGAACACCAATCAATATATGTATGATCCGAAACGTGATTGAAAAGTGTCGAATCCAAGTAGTATCAATAATGTATGAGAGGTGAGGAACTGAAGGAGCCAAATGGGTGCGGTTGTAGGTGATGTTTTGATGAATTTACCAAGTGATTTTGAGAGAGAGAAATGCATGGGGAAATCCACGTGAAGACTGACAAAGCGGTGGATGGGATTATAGAATTGCAATGTGGCAATTCGATGACGTCGTTCTCCTTCAACAACAAACTGTTCACGTGAGGATACTCAACTCTGCAACCCCTTTCTCAACTGTGCCCTGTTGGAAGCGTATATGAGCTCTCGATAATTTATAACTCTCTAACTTTTATTGATAAGAAAAAAAATATGTTACAACGACGTTACCCCAATAATACAATATTACAACACTACAATACTAGCTACAGCTAGTTTACAAACACAACCTCAGTATTCTAAGCTTTGCTAAGCTTCACCCTCTCTCTAATAGCTTTGCTAAGCTTTACCCTCTCTCTAATAGCCTTACTAAGCTATTATTCATTTTGGCTTTTCTAAGCCTTCATTTTTCTCACTTGTGTTCATCTCATACATTGCATATATTTATAAGGGTAATTAAACATCATTAATAAAAGATCTATGCATTTCCAAATTCTTCTTGTATTACCACATGGAGTTCCTTATCTTAATGAAATTCCCTTTCATCGTCAATTGTCACATGTTTATTTTTCATGCTTAGTTCTTAAGTAATTCAAGATCATGTTTCATTAATCAAGAATCTTCTAGCTTTTACCACCTTAACCTTTGCTTAATAATTAAGTATTTCAAAGTGTTGTTGCTGCCATGTTTCCATATTGCTAGTGGTCATCATTCTACAGCCTTTGACTTTTCAAAGTCTTTTGTTGCTAAGTAATTCATATGCTTCTACATTCTTCTTGCCGACATATGGTTGCAAAGTTGAGTTTGATTTCTAACAAGTCCTACTTTACACTTATTCTGCATTCTTAAGCCCTATCCCATCAAATCAAATCAAATCAAATCAAACATACATGGATGAATGATAATTTTTTTTAAATCCAAATGAAATCTTGAATGCTGCATGCCTTGCCTACATCATTATCCAATTATCCCTCTATTCCTTTGTAGAAATGGCTATTATACGTCAAAATAAGCATGCATTACGTGCCGACACCACCCATTTCGTTTTCACATCAAACTTTAAACTTATACTGTAGTACAACGTGCTCATTTCCCTCTTCTTTTAACGTTTGCATGTAAAAGAAAACTAATATTACTCAACTTTCTAAATCCTTTTACAAAACTATTCTTATAAACGTAAAGTTGTGTTGCGATCTTAAACTCTATATTTCGCCTATAAAAGTTTCGGACAGTGAGCATTTATAATAAAATGGAAAGGGTTTCTTGTGAATTATGAAAGAAAAGGAACGGGGAAGGCATTACCATCAAAGTTGTGGATTGAGTGAGCTTCGGGTTCAAATTTGTATATATTTTGTCGATAATTATTTTTCGTTATTAATTTGATATTACTATTTGAGCTTTTTTTATTCATTTTCGTACATTAATTTATTTTCGTACAAAAAAAATATTTTTTGAAATCATGCTGGTATTATGGGCATGACTATTTTTGACGTGACAGATTCTAGCGGTAAGTCAGTTGTAGTTTTTAGAATACAATCTAGTCAGCATTATCTAGAATGAAGACAAATGAAAATTATTTAGGGATTAAGTTTGAGTTTGAAACAAAATTTTAGGATTTATCTTTTTATTATTTGGAATTTATCTTTTTAGGATTATTTTTTAAGATATTTTATTTCAAATATTTCTTTTAGGTTTACCTCTTGTAAATTCTCAAAGCTTGAGAAGATACTTCTACTTTTGATTTATAAAATTTTCTTGAGTTTTTATTAAAAGTTATGTTTTTCATTTAGTCAAGAGCTTAGCGATACTTAATTTCTATTGTGAGAATTAAAAAACACTTAACATCTTCGGATAACATTCTCGATTTTTTAAAATCTTGATTTGGTTATCGACATTTTCTTTAAAATCTTTACACTTTCATTTCAAAAAGTGCACGTTGAGTTGAATGTTGTTTGGATTTACAGTTTGGGAGGAAGAATCGGTTGGTCGTAATTCAATTTCATAGGAACAAACTTAATGGTAGTCCTCTAAGGTGAATTGAGATCGGATTCGATTCTCGTTGAGACATCGTAATCCGAGCATGGATTTTTCCAACGCTTAAATTTGTATTGATACTAACAATGATAGTCATGGTTAGTCTAAGTAAGGACTGAATTTTGGAGATTAACTTAAGAATGTTGAATTATTAGAGAGAAAAGTAAGTTCCAAGGGTTGAACCTTGTAGACTATAAACGGCATATATTCGGAATAAAATCTCTTTCGATGATCAATTAAAATTGAACAAAACGAAGCTTGAGCCTATATTCATCTTATAAATTTCTGTCAAAAACTTTCTTTGCTTTATTTCTTTTTCTCTATCTGTCAAATATTGTTTTCTTTTTATTTAAATTTTAAACCTTTTTTCTTTTATTTATTTTTCGTTTTAGGATCAAAGTAAATTAATATGAGAAGTTTTTTAGTCCTTGCGGATTGACTATTATTCTCTTTACTACATTTTATTTCATTTATTTTATTTTGAGAATAAAAATATTTATCTGACAATTACGATGGTTGTCACTTCTCTTTCTTTCGTAAATGGTAAAAGATTGAAAATACGACATCTCAATCTAGGAGAGATAGGGTCAAACATGTTCTCAGAAAACCCATGTGATAGAATCCCACTAAGGCCCCAACATCAGCACATACAGGTACGACCAGGTTTCAACAAAGGAGACCCCCCCTTGTCCTCTCCATTTATGCCATCCCTCCCTCTAACTTTCAAAACCTTACGACTGATAAAGGATACTCCATGACTTCAAGACCAGATAACTAAGAAATTTGATATTATAAATGTTGAGATTTTAATTTACGACATCTAAGAAAGGACCATACATTTTATCAGGAACTCTCTCGTAATGACCATATCTATGTTACCGAACTCTAATGCAAATTTACCTGTTTCGTCTTTGTCTGAGCTTATTCTTACACTAAACATGAAAACGTGAACATAACTATTTATATATAACATTGAGAGAAAATAAGCATCATTAAATATCCAGACGCCCAAGGAGATACAAATGAATTTTGTGATGATAAAGTGGACTATGCACCAACCAAAAAGAGAAAATTGACTGCTGCGTTAGAAAACAAAACATGTTGGTCGGTTGGTCGGATTAGATTTTAGTGAAAAAGAAAGGGGTCTCTCCGATCCCGTGGAACGAGGGCATAAATCTAACCTATCGGGATAATCTTCTTTTCTCTTATCTGTCCTTTCTGAGGTATGGGATGTATTCTTCAAGTATCATGCAAAATTTTGTTCCGATTCTAGTTTCAAGAAACGTGAAAACAAAATTGCAAGATTTTCATCAAATGGTGCCGAGGCTTTGACACCGTGAAAAATTCGAGGAACGACCACAAAAAAAAAAAAAAAAGATCGTCAACTCCATTGGATCACCTTGTTCTTGTTCTTGGTCTTTACCGACTTCATTACATCCATTGTATTTAACTTGGTTGTAAGTCTCTTTTCTCCATTGTACTCATAATTATGACTTAGGATAAATAACAAGAAATTATTCTTTTTAGATTATATAGATCTGAAGTAGTAGAAAGATAGATTTTCTAAACATTGTATATAGAAATCAGATTATATAGATCTAAACAGAATTGTCATACAGAACTTCTAATGACAAACTTGCAATACAATTCTTTGCATCTATCCCTTCTCATTATTACTATTACTAGTGAGATGATAACATAAAAACTTAAATGAGATGAATGATATTTTCATTCCATGGCAAACTGACATAGTAAGAAATAGACTAAAAAACACTTGAAAGGTTGATTTACATACATACACACATGATTTTATTAGTCATTCAGGAAACCGTGTAAGTCCTAGGACATGAAAATTGGCTGGGGTATTGCACTGATTGGGGATTCTGATGGAGATAGTCGTGCTTCATTCAATCAAAACTGTAGCGACACTGATTTTGTGTTGGTGTAATAGTTGCTTCCTGTGCGATATTTATTGTCTCCAGTGATCTTTGTTCTTCAAACTGGTAAGAGAAAAAAACATAACCAGTTAAACAATCTATTTAAAAAGAATAAAGAAAATGAAAATAAATCACCCTTGCAAGCAGATATTACCCAATATTTCTGATCTGAATGAACCAGTAACATATAGCTAAGGCATTAAATAGCATGGCAGGTGAAGCAACCACTAAATGCCATCCGGCGGATTCTCCGGAAAGATATAGCCATATGCAAGATCTTTGCTTGATGGGTCTGGCTCGCTAGAATCGAACTTCTCATTTCGTGAGCCATCTTCTGAGCTGATCTTAGCTTATTCATTATCTTATCCATTGATGACGATATCTTCTTTTCTAGCTTCATCTGAGAAATATATTGTTTTGTTAGTAATGATGAAGAAAGTAAAGCTTTTCGTCAAGCTAAAGTGTTGCATTAAAAAGAAAAAGACAAAAAATAAATGGCGCACGTTAAGGAAATGCTATGGGTGCAAGTTAGCAGGACTAATGGCGCCCGAGTTTTTTGTTGATCCGTCGCCGATTGTTCTTTTTTATTTCTACCTCAAATTTCCGCTGCTGTTGGGTTTTCATTTCCTTCTTTTATGTACTTCAAATGGATTGGAAAAAATTATTCAAGTTCTCCGAATCGCAAGACCTTGAATATTTTCCCCCAAATGTTCGAGATGGAACCCCGTTCGTTCTTCCCTCTCCAGAGATTATTGAAGCTGGAATTTCCGAATGGAGATTGTCGTTGGTGGGTCAGTTCCTTGGAGCCACACCAAGCTTCGCTTCTCTGCAAAGAATCGTTGACAGCTTATGGAGTAAAACCTTAGGGGGTTCGCGGGTCCAAGTTAGTTATGCTGGTAATAATTTATTTATCTTCTCGTTTGATAGTGAATCGGCTAGGGATTGGGTGCTTGTTAATGGGCCATGGCATGTTCAGAACAAAACCCTGATCCTTAGAAAGTGGGAACCAAGCTTTAAATCCTTTAGTTTCAACTTAACAAAGATCCTTGTTTGGGTTCATCTGTTTAATGTTCCCTTAGAACTTTTCTCCCGAGTTGGCCTTAGTTACATAGCTAGTGCCATTGGCATCCCTCTCTCAATGGACAATATAATTGCTTTAAAATCTAGGCTAGAGTTTGCTAAAGTCTATGTTGAAATCGGGGTTAATGATACCATACCAAAGTTTATAGATGTTGCTATCAAAGATGGTCAAAAAACCTCGATTTACGTTGAGGTTCCATGGCTGCCACCTTCATGCAAGAAGTGTAAAGTGTTCGGGCATAATGAAAAAGGATACCAACACAAGCCCAATGCTACCCCTGCTGTTGCTCAAGTCTGGAAAAAGAAGGGAGAAACTGTTGCTAATTCGGCTGTTATTCTTGTTGGAGGAGTCGAAACTCTTCAAGAACCAGCTTGTAATGATGGTATTGAAGCTAAAGATAATATTCAGTAAGAGATGACAGACATTGTTCCTTATGATAAACTAGAGCACACTGCTCCTTCTGTTGTTGCTATAGCTAAAATTCAGCATGAGAAGACAGAAGTTGTTCATTCTGATAAACTAGAGCACACAACTCCTTTTGTTGATGTTGTTGCACAGATTAAGCAACATGAGGCTGAAGTGGTTAATGACTCAATCAATAAAATAGCTACTGCAATTGACCACTCAAGCATTCTGTATGTCGAAGACTTTTTTACTGATATCACTTCTCAGCCAGTACCTTCTAAACGGGGTAGAGGTAGAGCAAGTAAGGAAAATGCTAAGGGTTATCTTTCAGGTTCAAAAAACATATTTGAAATTCTAAATTCTGTTGAAGATCCTATTGAAGAAAATCAAACAAGGAAGCGTAGAACAACATCATTGGGAGTTGCTGGTTTGGTAAAAGAACTCAAATCAAAAAAGAAAGATCAGTTTGACAAAGCTAAAAGTCATTCTGTGGAAAGTCAATGGTGTTCCTTGGGATCACCATTCAAATGATAATTAGTTTCTGGAACATTATAGGACTAAACAATCCTCTAAAATAGAATAAAGTGGTTCATAGAGCCATACAAAATAATGTGGATGTTCTCTGTCTATTGGAGACAAGAGTTAAAGTGGAAAAATCAGAGGCTATCCTTAGCTCTAATTTCTCTAATTGGAATTTTTTCTTTAATTATGATCATGCAATTAATGGTAGAATCTGGATGCTATGGAGGAAGGGAATCGATTTATCAATTATTCAAGTATTTGATCAATGTATTACTGCAAAAGGGACTGTTCTTGGTAATCCGATATTCATTTCGGCCATCTATGGAAGTAATGATGGGATCAATCGAAGGCAGCTTTGGCTCAAACTTAAGAAGGTTAATTCCATTGTTAATCAGTCCCCATGGGTCTTAGGTGGGGATTTCAATATTTTCCTGTATTCCCACGAAAGCTCAGATCATGATCTGATAAGCCATTACACTTCTCCTGATATGAAAGATTTCCAAGAATTCACTCAAGAGATTGCTCTTCTTGACCACCATTTCTTTGGGCCTAAGTTCACTTGGAGTAATAAGCAGCAAGAATTATTTTTGGCTAGGAAACTTAATAGGGTTATGATAAATCCTAGTTGGGCTCCTATATTTCAACAATCTTTTGTGGAATTCCTTGCCCCTGGAATTTCTGGCCACAACATGGCCATTTTATAACTTTCAAAAGATATTCCAGCCTCTAGGCCTAAACCTTTCAAATTTTTTAATTTCTGGGTTGTTCATCCCAATTTCTTGAATGTAGTAAGGCACTCTTGGCAACAAGAAGTTCAAGGCAATCCTATGATGGTTCTGTTCACAAAACCTAGAAGACTCAAAGATTGTCTCAGAAGGTTTAACAAAGAAAATTATAGCAACCTCTCATATAGAGTTAAATTAAAGAGAATGGAGTTAGAAAATAAACAACTTCTTACTCTTAAAGGTGAGGAAGCTATAGAGAAGGAACTTGAAACTCAGGAGCAGTTGAAAACCCTTGAAAAAGATGAATCACTGCTCTTTAAGCAAAAGGCAAAATTTTAACGTATCAGAGATGGTGACAAAAACACCAAGTTTTTTCATTCTATTGTTGCCTTTAAGAACAAGAGAGATACCATTAGAGTCATTCTTGATGATAGAGGGAATAGACTTGATTCTTTTGATGCCATGGCCAATGAAGTTACTTCTTTTTTCTCTAAACTTCTTAGTACGACAGATTCAATGGTTAAGGATATTAATCTTTCAATACTTAAAGATCTCCTTAACTTTTCATTGCCTTTAGAATATACCTCTTCTCTTGTTAAGGATATCACTGTTGAAGAAATCCAAAATGCCATCTTTTGCCAATGCAATGATAAGGCTCCTGGACCGGACGGTTTCACCCCTACTTCTTCAAGAAAACCTGGTCCATAGTAGGTGAAGATGTCATTAAAGCTGTTAATTATTTCTTTTGCAATTCCAGCTTTTAACTCCACAATTATTGCCCTTGTTCCTAAAGTCCCTAATCCCTGCACGGTCAAAGACTTTAGGCCTATCTCCTGCTGTTCCGTTATCTACAAGATTATTTCTAAAATTCTTGTTAATAGAATGACTGATTTCCTCCTTGATATTATTTCCTTGAACCAAATTGCATGTATTCGAGGTGGAAACATCATCGATAATTCCCTCCTTGCTCAGGAGATAGTTAAAGGATATGATATGAAATCCATTTCTCCTAGATGCTCTATAAAGATTGACTTGCATAAGGCATTTGATTCCTTGCATTGAAACTTCATTACATCAATTCTGACAGCCCTCCATCTCCCTCAAAGATTTATTACTTGGATTGAAGTTTGCTTTTCTCAAGCAAGGTACTTCATCTCCTTTAATGGTACCTTAATTGGTTATTTCAAAGGTGCTAGAGGACTTAGACAAGGAGACCCTCTTTCCCCTTATCTGTTCATCCTAGCAATGAATGTCCTTTCAAAAATACTTAATTTGACTGCTTCTAAAGGAATCTTTGCTTTTCACCCAAAATGAAAAAAAATCGGGCTTACTCATCTTTCTTTTGCAGACGATCTTCTGATTTTCTGCAAAGCTAACATTGATTATGTGGCTAGTGTTCTAAGTGTTCTTGATAAGTTATATCAAATTTCAGGGCTAAAACTCAATTCCTCCAAATGTGAGCTATTCGCTGCGGGAATTTCCTCTAGGGTCTTAGAGGATATTAAGCTCATTTCTAGTTTTAAATATGGTTCTCTGCCTGTTAGGTACCTTGGCATCCCTCTTGTTACTCGCAAACTCACTGTGAAGGATTACGAACCTCTTCTTGACAAAATTAGGCAACGATTGCATCACTGATATGCTCGAAACCTTAGTTACGCTGGTAGACTTGAGTTAATTCGATCTGTATTGTTCAGTGTCAGTAATTTTTGGTGCAGACAACTTGTCCTCCCAGCCTCGATCTTAAAAACAGTAGACCAGCTTTACTCAAGGTTCTTTTGGAAAGACGATAACAAACCTGCTGTCGGAGCTCGGGTAAGCTGGGATAGTATATGCCTTACTAAGTTTAAATGAGGATTAGGACTGATTAATATTTCTGTTTGGAATAGAGCTTGCACTATAAGCCTCATAATAAAGATTCTTGCTGGTAATGGTTCACTTTAGGTTGCATGACTTCAAAAATATGTCCTTAAAGAGCAGGATTTCTGGCATTTTGAAGTTGGAACTAACGTTAGATGGGGCTTCTGTAGAATTTTAAAATTGAGGACTATTGTTTTTCCTCTTATTGCTTCTGGTTCCCTCGGACTAAGGAAATATGGGAAAACATTCGGTTGCAAGGACAGAAAGTTCATTGGCATCGACTTATATGGTATCCTATGCATATTCCAAAGCATAGCTTGATTGCTTGGATGGCCATCTTGAATAGGTTACCTACCATAGATCGTTTACAAAGAATAGGAATTTGCACAGATGGACTATGTGTTAACTGCAACATACACCAAGAAACTAGGAACCATATTTTTTCACATTGTTCCTTGGATGTTGGTCTTTGAAAATCAATCCTCAAGCTGAATGGGATGAATTATACTTCTTTGACATTGGAGGAAATGGTCTCTCGAGCTAGCTCAACTTGGAAAGGGAAATCCCTTATCACTACCATTTTGAAGATTTCGTGGAATGATTTCATCTACTCCTTATGGCAGGAACAAAACCAGAGAATGTTTCAGGGTCATTTTTGAACTGTTGACATTATACTCAAAGAAATCATTGATGCTGTTGGTATTCGTCTTAGGGGAAAATCTATTAACAGACTTGATAGTACTAACTTTTATCTTTGTAATGCTTGGGGTATAGTCTAATCAATCATTGGTTTTGTAATTAGGCTGCTTTATTTATTTTGTTGATTGGTTGATTGGTTGTAGCAAAACTTTGTTATTTTGGGTAATAAAATTTTGAATTATCCAAAAAAAAGTTGTTGCATTTCACCACAAATTATAAAAAATTTCAGTCATGGCTGTTTTTTTAATACTATTATATATTCTATTAAAAAGCAAAAAAACTAACGTTTCATGATAGCATTAACATCTAAATAAGCAAGCTAGACAATGAAGGAATGGAAAGAAATATTACTTCAGTAATTAATGCTTTTCAGGAGAAAAGAAACCTCTAGTTTTGTTATGGATGCTCAGCTTTTGCCTTCTGTAGATTTTCCCATACAGTGATTTTGACTTCTCTTTTTTTTTAGATAATTCAGAATTTTATTACCCAAAATAGCAAAGTTTTGCTACAACCAATCAACAAAATAAACAAAATGGCTGATTTCTTTTGCAATTCCAGCATTCATCTAGCTTTTAACTCCACAATTATTGCCCTTGTTTCTAAAGTCCCAAATCCCTGTACGGTCAAAGACTTTAGGCCTATCTCCTGCTGTTCCGTTATCTACAAGATTATTTCTAAAATACTTGTTAATAGAATGACTAATTTCCTCCATGATATTATTTCCTTGAACTAAACTGCATTTATTCGAGGTAGAAACATCATCGATAATTCCCTCATTGCTCAGGAGATGGTTAAAGTCTATGGTAGGAAATCCATTTCTCCTAGATACTCTATGAAGATTGACTTACATAAGGCATTTGATTCCTTGCATTGGAACTTCATTACATCAATTCTGACAGCCCTCCATCTCCCTCAAAGATTTATTACTTGGATTGAAGTTTGCTTTTCTCAAGCAAGGTACTCCATCTATTTCAATGGTACCTTAATTGGTTATTTCAGAGGTGCTAGAGGACTTAGACAGAGAGACCCTCTTTCCCCTTATTTATTCATCCTTACAATGAATGTCCTTTAAAAAATGCTTAATTTGGTTGCTTCTAAAGGAATCTTTGCTTTTCACCCAAAATGCAAGAACGGATTTACTCATCTTTCTTTTGCAGACGATCTTCTGATTTTCTGCAAAGGTAACATTGATTCTGTGGCTGG